TGGGATATAATATAAAATGTCTGAGAGAGGTTGTGGCCAATTTTTGAAAGATTAATTGCTGGGTATTTCTATTAACATTATATGGAAACATAACTGGAAGGAGACAGAACATAAAGGTAAATTAAATCTTGAGAAAAATTTTAGTCCTTTCCACATGAGTTGCACAGAGGAACTGAGAAAATTTACTGAGATGAGAACTATCATTACCATGATAAATACTTTTAACTCAAAACCGTCCACAACACATAAAACTCATGGATGTAGGAGTGTCCAAAGAAATCATTTCTATTTTGGTGATCATTTTAAAAATACATAAAAATGAGACACTGCCTCTCAAAGCAAATCCAGAATGTGAAGAATTATTTCAGTTTTGATATAAGAGTCTAGTGACCCTAAAAGACTCAGACGAACTTCTCAGAAAACCTTTATTACCTTAATTGAACTTTTTCTCTTTCATTGCTAAATTTCATCGTTAGTGCAAACCAATTTGTTGTTTACCTTTAGATGTTTAAAAGGAAAATGCTGCCTTGATAATATAAGATTATGACATAAAGAAATCTAACGTTACCTAAAGAAATATGAAATATTTAAAAATGTACAAAGTGGTATTTAAACATTGTAGCAACTTAATATAATCAAAATCAATTCTTTTCAGCATTGTATCAAATTAGTGAGCATAATCTCTTTTAATCTCTAGTGCATACATAAGAACATATTTTGTCCTATCACTGATTCATAATTTTTTGTAATAAAAATTATCCTAGGAATGTTACCTAAGAATATTTAAAAATCCATTCTTTAAAGTGGTCATTAGTCACTTTCGTAGGAAGAAAAAAATAAATAATCTCAGGTTCCTTAAATTAAGGAAATTTGAAAGTGTAAACCATAATATATAATTAAAGATCATGATACACATTTAAAAAATAAACCTTCTGCTGGTTTACTTCCAAGTAATAGGTGGGCAATTAAAATAGATGATCTCATCATGTATTTCATTTAAATCAGGAGGACAGGAACACAAAATATAGAGTAAGAAATACAGTGGCTTCTGTCTATACACTTTAGATTTCTTTTACATACGTTAAAACATGAAAGTGATTCCATGTATTATTTTCCTTCATTTTATTTTATTAAAATAGTTACTTAGATGTAGACTAACCTTTAATTAACAGCTCTGACTTAAAGCCTGTGTCACTAGGAAAATTATACCATTCGATTAAAACATAAATTTACAGAAGTCACTCGTCTTGAGTGCTTTTTCATACCATTACTATATAATGTGGATGTAAAATGTGCTCATAGTATGCTTTTTTTCTATCCATCCAAATCACTGCACGGCAATATTTGCTAGAGGATCTACCTAGATGATTCCCATTTTCCTTTCATAAATTATCACCAGTAGAACAGGAGAGAATTTCACTAAGCTTTACCAAAACAACTGTTTACTCATGGAAACAAAATTAAGTGATAACCTAGCAAAATTATCTATTTACCTACTATCCTTAAAGCTGAATTACTACTCTCCGTAAGAGTGAAAGAGTACTGAAAAAGATATTCACCATACTTTCATGTTTTAAATCCATTCCATTATACTTCCCCTGCTATGCATGGATAAGCAAGTTATTTTACAGATGTTCAGGTGTACATTTTCATACGTAAGATATGCAGAAAAACATTACATTAACATTACAAATATTTTTCAAAATAAAATTCTCACCAGAAGGAAACAATTTAAAAATATTTAGAGGAAATAAATGTGCAAGAATGTATAATTACCGTTACAAAAACAATTACTAAGTCAATGAATTGACCTTTCGCAACTAAAAAGCCAATTCTTAAACATCATTCAGAAAGAAAATAAGTGTATAAGAATAGAGGAAATATATTATAGTAACTAAAATACATCAATATACGGAATTTATCAACATTACTTACCTCATACAGTAGACAGCCAAGAGACCAGATGTCAGATTTGAAGTTGTATCCATTTTCATGGATTCTCTCTGGAGACATGTAATAAGGTGTACCCACTGCAAAAAGCAAACCAAACAAAACAAGAGGAGTCTAAAAATGAAGATGCAGCTGTGGTAAGAAATTTTAGACACAAAATTCTAGATTAAAAAATATCACCAAAATAATTCATTAGAATCAGAAAATGGTTTTTGCGAATACTTAAAACTTTTTAACTTCCTCTACTCCCTGACCCTTATACAGCACAGCAACATCTATCCTATATTAAAAAGGGTGTAGTGAGTTGAACTTTATTTCCTTTTGATCAATTCAGGGAGATTCTCGGGAGCATAACTAAAGTAACACCAAGGAATTCTAACAAGGAAATCTACTCAAGTGATTCACATTGGCTTCATTTCTTTATTTAAAAAAAATACGGCTTGCATATCTCAAATAATCAAGCATCATGGTATAATCATGTACTTAATATAAACATTAATATATCACAATTTAGTAGAGTGTATATAAATAAATCATGCTCATTAGCTTTAATAAACATTCCTTATAACACAGTTGTAGCTCTTAAAATTATGAATGATATAATCATTACCCTTCAGTACCCTACCTACTACCACTTTTGAAACATTAGAACAGACTTTTGTGCATCGAAGGGTTACACAATAACATGTGAAAGGTCACCGACATCCCTAGAAAAATATCTGAGTTATTACTACTGAGACTTTTTTAAAGACAAGATACTGTAGATAATTTTTATTTTTGTTTCTTTTGATGTGCTTATACATGTTTCCCCTTTTTATGGCCATTTTACAAAATGCTAACATTATAAATCATAATGTAATAAATTAATATTTATTAAACATTAAAAAGTAAGCAAAGGCATGTAAGTTATTTTTTGAAAGGTAAAACAGTTAAGTGACATTCAAAGTGACTATCTTCAATTTCAGATATAGATGGCTACTTCACAATCATTAGCCTAAGGGTTTTTTTTGCCAAATACAGACCCAAAGTTTGAGAAGGAGATTTTAGAATTTTACTTGCTTGAGGCAAAACCTACCAAAAAAGATGCTGCTACTCACAGAGAGAAGGACATTTCCCTTTTTTCTGTTAATTTTCAAGAACTCCCCAGACAGTTAGTGTAAATCTTCATGAGACTGTAACTCACAGTCCTGAGCAGGGGTATTTAGTCAGAGACAACTGGAAGAGCCACAGCAACAATCAAAGTATCATTCTAAAAGGCAGGAGTCAGTTTTCCAAAAGAATAAGGTTGTAAACTAATAGTTGTGTGTGGAAACTATACTGCACTGAAGGTGAAAACGTCAGGAACTACGTATCCACAAGGAATCCTATCTGTACTGGAATCCATTTTTACTAAGAATGGAGGGTCCTAGTCACAATGGACGCTTTCTATGAAAGCGAAGAAATGAAAAAAGAACAGGACCATAGGAGGATAAAATAAATTTAAATAAAATATGAACTAGTCAAATACGAAATTAGTTAAGACAGACCTTAAGAAATAACCTACTTAATTGTAGTACTTATTTCGAGGCAAGGAAGTTTGCCAATGTCTGTCAGGGTCAGAAAAGCTAAGAAACTTTCAGAAACAGCAAGGATTAAACAATCTGAATTGTTATCAGGTAAAATAAACATGAGCTCTCCAGCTTTGGGAGCTTCAACCACCTTCACTTGTAGCTTGCATAAGCGACACTGATTATTGGAGGTATTTACACCCTCCCTCGACCTAAGGACGGGTGGTGGGTACACTTGGAATAATAAGAGGGCTCTGCACAGGCTCCTGGTTTCAGGACATAAAGCAAGTGAGTGGCAGTGAGGAATGTGCAGAGAGAGGCTTCACGGAATCCACAGGGGGCAACTGAAAACACTGAGGCTTGAAGGTTCAGAGTTTACCAAAAGCAAAGGTAATTTTAACCAGTAGCTCTGGGAAACCTGCTGATACATTAGGGGTTTGATAGGAGTGTGAAAGATTGATGATAGGGAAAAAGAACAAATGCTAGCGTTTTACAGAGATTAGCCCCAGCACAACACCTTGACTGCAACACAACTGAACTCACGGACGACCCACAAGTGAAGGAAGCAGAGAAAAAGAATGATGCGGGTATTCGACTGAGCTAAACTTACAATGTAAAACATTTTAATGGGAAGAAAAGCCTTTTCGAGTGAGCTGCTAGCGGTCATTACAAAAAGTGACGTATTAGGTTAACACTGACACTGCAAACTTAGATACTGATTCCTCTTCATATTATAAATAACAAACTTCTTTAGGCTAAATAGGCGGATTTCGTTTTAATATTTCAGGTATACAGATCTTGAATATATTAAAATATAAATCTAAGGATGCTACTCACCTTTTGATTGACACATCTCCAAAAGAGTCATGTAGGAAGAGGAGAAAGTGTGTATCCTGCACTACAATTATTAATTGGATAAAATCATAATTAACTGCTGAACACGGCAGAAGAGGGAATTTCCACTTGCTCCCTCTTACATGCTCCCTAAAGTGCACCTCCATCCTGGACAAGGCTCTTCTACTGACTGACACTGAGCAGAGAGGTTGCACCCCATCACATAAACAGATTCATCCTTCCTCTCTACCTAGCAAAGAGGTCAAAAAATTTAAGTGCTCAGGAAAATATGAAATTCATTTTCATGCAGTGATAGGTCTTCCACATTTCAAATTTAATGGATATATAATTATTTCCTAAAAGCCTTTTACAAAATCCACAACAGCTGTGTCTATTATTACTACTGCCTCAAGAATGTTGTGACTTAACAACTGTACAAGAAAAGGGAGAGTTATAGAATGATATGATTAGATATTAAAACGATCATGCAAATTACTGTGTGTTGAGGCGCATGGAGACAGCAAGTTGTGTAATTTTACTAATCTTTTGAGAATTTATGGCTGTAGATAAAATGGGAATATATCTTACCATAGCAGATATTTATTTCAACCTCCTGACATACGTGAAAGTAAGAAATCGATGATAACGTCATAAAAAAAAAAAAAAAAA